CTAGCAGCCTCGCACCGAGGATCTATCCACGTCATCATTTACCCAGAATGCTTTGTGTGTAAATAAAATGGCTCCATCCATATTAAAATGTTTTTAAAAATTTACAAAACTAAACAGCCTACAGTATTTTAAAGTCTTTATTTTACAGTTAAAATATATGTTTATCAAATAAAGTCTAATGTTACAACTAATCAGGGATCCCTTTAAGGTCAACAATCAAAACAGATTCCTCCCTCACACCATGGCTATGTATTCATTAATGCATGGCCACAAGATGTGTGGCCATGCGCTAACTAACAAATTTCCAAACTATAGTATCTCATGGCCACACATTATCTAGTGGCCACGCGTTAACTAACACATGGGCATGCATTATTATCTAGTGGCCACRYGTTAACTAACACATGGGCATGCATTATTATCTAGTGGCCACGCGTTAACTAACACATGGGCATGCATTATTACCTAGTGGCCACATGTTAACTAACACATGGGCATGCATTATTANTTAACTAACACATGGGCATGCATTATTACCTAGTGGCCACATGTTAACTAACACATGGACATCCATTATTACCTAGTGGCCACACATTAACTAACTAACACATGGGCATGCATTATAATCTAGTGGCCACACATTAACTAACGCATGGCCACATATTATCTTGTGCCTACACATAAACTAACACATGACCACGCGTTATCTCGTGACCACACATTTACTAATGCATGGGCACGCATTATCTCATTGTCACACATTAACTATTGCATGGCCACACATTATCTCATGGCCACACATTAACTAAGGCATGGACACACATTATCTTGATTAGCTCTAAATGAAAACTAATCCAGTGTCGTTCATTCCTTAGTGGTAAACTACATCACTCAATGTAAAGGTTTATTTAAAAGCAAAATTGTTATTATTCAGTTTTAATCAAATTTTTTTTGTTAAATTGTGTACTTTTCCCCAAACAAGAACAATCTAAAATCTAACATCTGTGTAAGTACTAGGGAAAATCAGCTCTGAAAAAAATATCTTGCATTTATTAGACTTAAGGAACTTTAAAATTGTCTGTGAAAAATAGAACCAACATGGAATTGAAGAGTCTTTAATCAACTAGTTTAAACACAAAAATCACAAACCATGAAATAATACTAACGGCTGCGAGCACAAACTAACGAAACAGACAGAACCTGATTATTTCAGCTCATTTCCTCTCCCACACACGGTGGGGGTAGGATCATGGCCTGGATGAGGATCTCTGCTTTGGATGTAATGATGGGGATTTTTTAATTCTGGTGGCAAAGAAAACATCTAGACGTGTGTTTAAATCAAATACCATGAAAGTGGCTGAAGTTTATCTCTTATCAGTCCAATTATTTTTCCACGTAAGTCAAAAATGTTTTTTGTTTCTGGCCTTCGAATCAGATTTTTGGGAAATACCCAAAAAGCCAGACACAAACCTGACTCATCGTCCACCTCGGTGCAGACATAATGGACACAGTTTATTTTCACCGCTTCGCCTTTTAACTTCCTTCCTTACTTTTGTTCTTCCTTCCCAATTATTCTCCGACAGAAGACCCCAGAAATTATGTCTAATAGTGTGCAGAGTTATTTCAGATCAGGTTATTTCCAGTTAGATGCAGTCGTCCAGACTTTTGACGTTGTGCAAATATTAAGACACGAGGAATTGGCTGGATGAATACAGTAAATACACTGAATTATAAAATATTATCAGCAAAAACTTACAAGTTTTATTAAACTAGCAGGACTATTTAACCCTGATTTTCTGCAAACTTATTATAATTTTCACAAATAATTGTGTAGTTGGAATTTTTGGCATCCAGACAAAGAAGCTAATTCTTTCAAAATAAAGGACTAAATCAGATAAAGGTATTTAAATCTGATCATGTTTTCAGTTTAGGGGTGGAGGAGCAGTGAGTTTCTGCACGTACCAACACTGTCTTTCTCGCTCGCTCACAGCGTTACTCATGCTGGGTAGCCCAACTTTTCCAGATCCGTATGACATTGATTTATCCCCGTAAATATAGCACTTCCTCGGGAATATTACAGTTAGCAGGAAACAGAGTGGTCAGAAGCTGTACGACAGAACACACGGGGAAACTGTGAGCATTGTTTGAAATCGAACAATCGCATGTGTAACACAAACATTTCCATGATTTATATCTTATTAGGGAATGTCATGCAGATTTAAGCACATTTTTATTTATTTTATTTTATTTTTTTACTTTTTACAACCACAAAATTATTCTTTTAACTTGTTTATTTAGGGCATAAGAAGCAACTCACTTCATGAAGATAATGCATTTCAACTGAAACATTTGATTCTTTTTTTAAAGGTTTTTTATTTATTTATTATTGTACCATTTTTAGTCAGAATGTGCTTTTCTGCAGCCGTACACATATCTTGTTGCATACTTTTGTTAAAGTTTGCTTTTAAGTTTAGGGTAATGAACAATTTAAAGGCACATTGTGTAGGATTTGTTGTTTTCAGCGACATCTAGTGGTTGAGTGGTTGAATCATCCTCCCTGGTCCTCCCCCCACCCCCAGAAACGCTACGGTGTCTCTCAGGTGTCAAAAACCTTTAATAATTCCAACCGCGATGTCTACCAGCAGCTTCAGGGCTAGTGATGGTTCAAATGATAAGATTATGAGATTTAATAACTAAAATTGTCCCAGCTATGTTTACATGCACAAAATGTTTTAATCGGATTGAAATGTATTCAGATTAAATAATCCTAATGTACTGTTTACATGGACACAATCCGATTATGAAAAGTGTTTACATGCACCGGAAGTTTTATTCTGAATAAAAGTCCGGACATGCGCAGTGTTGTAAACTTTCAGCTCTACTTCTGTGTTACAAACATAAACAACGCTCCTCTGTGCGCTCAGGACAGACCCGTGTCAGCTTTTAATAACGGTTGAGACGCCGTTACTCCTCGGTCGAGCTGCAGCCTGCAGATGAAGCAATACGTGCTTTTTTTATTTTATTTATTTATTTTTTTTGCGAAGCAACTTCTGCTGTTTGCCTCCTTTTTCATCTGTTAAGAGCAAGGAGGAAAGGTTCTGCATGGTGCTGTCCCACCGGGGGGATGAAAGTCAGCAGACATGCGCGCACAGGTCAGTTTTCTACAATCAGAATAAGATGATCCGATTAAGTGTTTACATGAACCTCATTCCGATTACCAATCAGCATAACCCACCCTTTTCATTCGGATTAAAAAT